AAACACACACAAGCAGAGCAGAACATCCGTCCGGTTTAAAAAACACTTTGAGATAAAGCTAATACATTGCAGATAGATCGCTGTCTAGTTCTTGTCTCTTATTATAATTTGTTGTGAATTTTGACTGAATTCCTAAAAGCATGCCGAATTACACTTAAGACAAACAACTACAACGAAAGTAACAAAATCAATGCAATATTATTATTTACACGTGTTGTTTTGTGTGGTAGAGGGTCGCTTTCATTGATGCGTTTTGCACCCCGGAGTTGTTTTGATATTCCACCAGTGTTAAAAAAAAAATATATATATATATATCTTGAAAACTCTTTTTCGTTTTATCACTGTTCGTACGAAGTAAAGACTGCACCTCGATTAGACTTAATTGTAACTTATGACGAAAGATAAGGAGGTGAGAACACTGACCACATTGAGGAGAGAACTATAGTCGTACACTGTCCTGTGACAAGTCCTTGATCGACTACGAGACATACACTTACTGATGAAGGTAAGAACTCTCCTAGTGTCTATGTACACTAAGGATCTCTCAATTCGAGTTCGGCCCCTGGTCCCTCTAACAACGATTGTGTTCACACTAACGTTTCATGATCTCGTCGGTAACACAAAAACGCTGACTTATAATGCCGGGAAAAAACGACTCCTTATAATTTGTCACCGCATTTTGACTGCCACCGAGGACTGGCCGAGACACGCACCTTTTTTTTTGACCAAGCGGTAACAAAATTAGTGTTCACCTTGGTTCCGTCTTGTCTTGACTTGACTCACATAATCTATTCGCGATGGAGGGATCGATTTTGAAAAACCCAGGTTCCTTTGTTGGAAAATTATTGAGAAGCATGTTCTTAATACAGTATATGTGATTGAAAACAAAAAGTCTTCTCGGAGAAGTCAGTTGGACTCAAAACCTCTTCAATCGTCTGCGAGTACCTCCTAAGCAGAAGCTTGTTTGTAGACCTGTCTTCTCGACTCTCGGACCTCTACTGTTAGCAGGTGCCTTCTCAGTTGGAGGAAGGGTTTGGGGGGGTGTAAATGATGCTGTTTGTGGCGATGGGCTCCTTTCCCTCCGGGTCCTGTCCACTCCGGGTGTGTGGACGACAGAGAAGATGTAGTTTGGTACGGAGGAGAAGAAGTACAGAGAATTGTAGTTGTACACAGGGAGAAGAAGTACAGGAAGATGTAGTTGTTACAACAGGGGAGAAGAAGTACAGAGAAGTGTAGTGGTACACAGGGGAGAAGAAGTACAGAGAAGATGTAGTTGTACACGGGGAGAAGGAGTACAGAGAAGATGTAGTTGTAACAAGAAGAAGTACAGAGAAGATGTAGTTGTACACAGGAGAAGGAGTACAGAGAAGATGTAGTTGTACACAGGGGACAGAAAGTACAGGGAGAAGGATGTAGTTTCGTACACAGGAGGAAGAAGTCAGGAGAAGATGTAGTTGTGCACAGGGAGAAGAGGGACAGAGAAGATGTAGTTGTACACAGGGGAGAAGAAGAGCAGAAGAAGATGTAGTTGTACACAGGGAGAGAAGAAGTACAGAGAAGATGTAGTTGTACACAGGGAGAAGAAGTACGAGAGAAGATGTAGTTGGTACACAGGGAGAAGGAGTACAGAGAAGATGTAGTTGTACACAGGGACAAGAAGTACAGAGAAGATGTAGTGGTACACAGGGGAGAAGAAGTACAGAGAAGATGTAGTTGTGCACATGGGGAGAAGAGGTACAGAGAAGATGTTAAGTTGTACATAGGGTAGAATGAAGAGCAGAGAAAGATGTAGTTGTGCACAGGGGAGAAGAGGTACAGAGAAGATGTAGTTGTACACAGGGGAGAAAGAAGAGGCAGAGAAGATGTAGTTGTACTCAGGGGGACAAGGAAGTACAGAGAGAAGATGTTAGTTGTACACAGGGGGAGAAGAGGTACAGAGAAGATGTAGTTGTACACAGGGGAGAAAGGAAGTACTGAGAGATGTAGTTGTACACAGGGGAGAAGAAGTACAGAGAAGATGTAGTTTGTACACAAGGGGACAAGAAGTCAGGAGAAGATGTAGTTTGTACACAGGGGATAAGAAGAAGAGTAACAGAAGAAGATGGTAGAGTTGTACACAGGGGAGAAGAGGTTACAGAGGAAGATGTCACAGTTGTACACAGGGGAGAAGAAATACAGCAGAGAAGATCGTAGTTGTACACAGGGGAGAAGAGGTACAGAGAAGATGTAGTTGGTTCACAGTGGAGAAGCAGTACAGAGAATATGTAGTTGTCACAGGGGAGACACGCCTTTCTCTCGAGACTTTTCAAAGTCCTTGTTTCTAAGAGAGAGAAAACTAGGTAAAGATATTTTTTGGACAGACTTTTAACTCGACTAGTCTAAAAACTGGGTGACTACTACAGTATTGTTACAAAAAGAACACATTGGTAGTCGGTTAGTCGTCGGTTCCATTGGGTGGGGGAAATAGTGGCTTAGAGGAGGATCTCTGGTGGGTAACTCAAGAAACATTTGGTTTACAGAGAGTCTCCCCGCACCCCTCCCCGAGGAATAAAAAGTAGATTTCATTGTCTGTCTCTTAGTTCGTGAAACCTTTGTCCCGACTTTGTCTCCCCTAAGTTAGCCCATTACGACGTCTACTAGACAAACCACAAAGTCGCTTAGTCTCTGTCCGAGACATATATAGACTCTGGACAACTTATATAAATACTTGTTTGTCATTATTATCCCCTGGAAAATTTCTTCACTTACTAAGACTAAACAAAGGCGGGGATTGTCTATTTCTTGTCAGGAGTTGGGACGGACGCTGGGGGTCGACTGTCTCCTGTTCGTGCTCGTCTCTGTTCAGGTTCCTCCTCGGCAAGAAGTTCTTCAAAAAGTGATCCTTCAATCTTGAAATATAACTGAGTCCACTTGTCACGTCCACTGTTTCTGAAACTATAACTTTACTATTTTCGGAATTACCTACGCGTTCATCTTCAAAAACATGAAAATTTTCAATAAAGCTAGACTTCACGGAGTGTCCTTTTTCTCTCTTTGGAGGTTTGATTAATATTATTTCAATATTTATTTGACTTGAGTCCAACCTCGCAATCCTAGTAAGGGTTGGACCTTTCTCAGGGCATCTTTTCAGCCAAACACTTCAAGGAAGGTTGATTTTCGTCCGGCAAAGAGTTTCACACCCCGCGTCTCTACACTATTCACCCAGCCGGCTTTATGTTTTAATTTTAAATTTTTTA